CAAATTCGTCACTTGCTGAGTTCCAGAAATAGTCTCTAAGAACAGGAATTCAACTGGTTCTAAACTTGGAAGTAGCTAAAGGATGAAGAACATTTTGCACGTAAGATGCACTGTACTTTTCTCGTTAATCGTGGTCACATTAAATTAATTTGCATTCGGTGATACAAGACTGTTTACCTTCTTGCTGTAACTGGCAGGTCAATGCCCACACATGGTTCAAAGCTAAGTAAAATGTACATCATGAAGAACTACGAGTTTTTATTTATTTGTATACCTATGCACATACCTATGCATGCATGCGTGCGTGTGTGGGTGTGTGTTTTTACCTCAAGAGGAGAAGTAGCACACACATCTCTTTCAGCTGTCATATCCTTAACTTGGGACATCCTCTGCCTTCTGGAGTATTGAAAGTCCATTCTTAATTTTAAATTATTAAGTATGCTATGGGTTACAATCTCTCCTTTATGTTCGAAATGGTTGGCTTACAGTCTTTTCAGTGACAGTCTGTGATATTCAGTCAAACAAGCGAATCCAGAAATGGGAATCACTTTTCATTATGTTCTCATTTGCACCCCATATGGGTTTTCAGTGTTCGTATCTTTCAAAATGTTATATTGCTGGGGAAAAACAAAAAACAACAAAACAAACAAAACCCCTAGGAACAATAAACCTACACATAGTAAGCATAAATATTTCTAGCAGAAACACATACATGAGAAAAATATAAGTACTTCCCCACTCCCTCCCCTTAAGAAAGGAAAAAGATGATCAGCAAAAAGCGATTCCAAATTATAAGAAGTATTTGTGGCTTTTAAAGGTCATCTGAGTCAACAAGCACTGGTTAAGTAGCTCATGTTGACAGCCCAGGATATTCAAATTCTCTTTTTTACGTACAAATCAGGTACATCAGAGGCACTGGTAATAATAGCTGTCTCCAGCACTGCCTCACCAATGCCTCTCAACCCTGACCTGCAGGAACCGCTGGACGGTTGAAAGAACGTATCGTCTGCATGATCCAGTCAAGCTCTCAGCTTTCTCCAGCCCCCGATTACATCGGAGGACAAAGTGTAGCAGTGGTTTTATTATGTAGCCTCCTATCTCCAGAGAAACATCGTGAGATTTCATCTCCATTCATAGAAACTAGTGAACAGTATTTCAAGATAACCAAGAAACACCAACTGGCCTATGGGGGGGGAGGG